GGGTCAGTCTCGTCGTGCATTGCAGCTGTCAGTAATGGCCGAGGGACAAAACCGCATTATCGAACATAAAAAGAAAAACAATTCAATCGGAGCCGCACGCCCGCTTCAGAGAGGAAGCTGCCCATCCGCTGTTAGTTTTGTAACCAACTTCGTGCTCCAGTCAGCTGACTCCTGCGTGACGCCATCGCGGCGCCCCGCTACCGGCTGGGGAGGAGAGGCACGGGCAGAGCGGTGGGCGGGGCCAGACCGGGCATCTCATGAATATGCATGACCGAGCTCCTGCCTAATCGTGCCCCCCGTTCCGTCAATGAGCGTAACCGGTCAATACGCTTTTCTGATTTGTATGGCTCCTTCCGCTGAAGGGCCTGTTGTCCCCTCTCTCTCGGCTACGTGTCGTACAAATCAGTGAATCTGTCTCGCTGAATTTCGTCTGGGCTTTCCTATTTGTGTTTAATCTCCCTCTATGTCTGTAACAAAAGGACAGAGGTATAATCTATACACAGGCTGACTACATATACCGTTAATTAATTATCCAATGAGCCATTTAAAAAATGTATTTTTTGCACGTGAATATTCGATGTTCTTTACACCGCGGTACTAATGCTTGAGGCTGGGGGGGCGAGTCGGTCCCTTTTCGCTGCGACACCGGTTTCCTGTCTCTCCCGACTGACGGAGCGACACGTCTTCTTCGGAGAGCAGCGCGGGGATTTCCGGTTCTGGACAGACGGGCACAAGGATTGGGATTCCCAGGCACTTTGGCAGCGACCTCTTCAGCAAGCCCCACGCCCTCCTTCCCACGATGTCGAACTCGGTGCTGTCCGTGATCTCCCGGTTCCTGGACGAGTACTCCAGCAGCACGCTCAACCGGCTGAAGGTGGTGGACGCGTATCTGCTGTACATCCTGCTGACCGGGGCGCTGCAGTTCCTCTACTGCCTGCTGGTCGGCACCTTCCCCTTCAACAGCTTTCTCTCCGGCTTCATTTCCTGCGTGGGCTCCTTCATCCTCGGGGGTAAGACGCGCGGAACCCCTCTCTCTCAGTGCAGTGTTAATGTACTGGAGTGTCCAGTCAGTGTGT